AATATATATATATGCATGTGTATATATATATACGGATGTATATATATATATACACACATATGTACACATTTGTATGAATGTATGTATGTATGTATGTATGGATGGATGGATGGATGTATGTATGCATGCATGCATGCATGCATGGATGTATGTATGTATGTATGTATGTATGTCTGCCTGCCTGCCTGCGTGCGTGCATGCGTGCGTGGGTGGGTGTGTGGGTGGGTGGGTGGGCGGGCGGCAACCTGCCTTCCCGAGTGGCTGCCTCACAAAGAAGGGAAAGGCACTGATGTCTCTTGGCCAACCGACGTACCTGCAAGTGATGAAGAATGTGTGTGTGTGTGAGTGTTTGAAGCTGTTTCCCAGAAACGAGTATCGGACTTGCAGGGCGTCAGGCCCATCAAGTTTACCTGACGCAAAGAAGCAAGAATGAGATGCGGATGTGTAGCTCGTGAAAACTTAAACGAAATCGTGCACTGGTCATTGCCTGTGGCCGACTCTAGGTTCGACTTGTCGCGTGCTGTGTAGGATGGCCAAGGCTTAGCCTAGCAATTCGCTTAAGCCAACAGTGTTATCATCGGCCGGTTCGGTCGATACCTGCTTCTGCGACATTGCTCGGTATGGCATTGCTCGCACCTCCCAGCTCCCGCTCCTCACCCCGGGACCCACCTTCCACCACCTCCCACCTCTCACCTCCCACGCCTTCTACCTGTCACTTTCCACCTTTTCCCTTTGCGGCCTTACCCCCTCCCACGTAATCTCCCGAGGTGGTGTGACCAGAAAGGGGGGCGGTCGACATTTCGGTAGGTTTCGGTTCGGCAAGCGGCGCATTGCGGTTTGCGCTGCCTCGACTGAACAAATAAACCCCAGAAGCTTGAGCATGTGTGTGCGGACCTGAGCATTTCCACGCATTGCGAGCTCGGAGACTCGCGGCATCTCGATTTGTGCCAGGCGCATCCAAACACAAAGAAAAATCGCTTCGGCTGGGTGGACACCGACTTGGACAGGCCGGCTCCGCCACAGCTTGCTACTCTGCCTGAGCACAGTGCTTCAGTGGCTCGATGGTGCACTCAGCGTTTCTACATAAACGATCTGCAGCCGGGACTGGCCCGAACGATCGCGCATGGCCCAGCACTCATGTACAGAGCGTTGCGGGCTGCTGGCCAAAGTTTGCCAAAGCCCGCTGAAATGCTGAAGGCGCTCCGCTTTGGTCATTCAGCGGCACTCTGCACATGGCCTGTGGTGGCAGGTGCCACTTCCCAGCAGTTCGCTTGAGCCTTCGACATGCGGTCTGGTGCGATGCCGTTTTGCCTCAGACCCGACCAGGGCCGGCTAGCTGCAATAACTGTGACTATTCTTGCTCGACCGCTTGACCTGCATGGCGAGGTTGTAAAGCAGGCCAGGTCACCTCTAAGAACTCTAGTACCGCGGTGCTCAGGTAAGAGAAAACCTCTTCAAGAAGGCGGCCTATTTTCAGTTTTTGCAAAGCACTGTGTGCCTTGAGAGCACACCCAGGGGTGGCTCACAAGGACCAGAGCCGTCTCATCGCTTCCGCGGCTCGTCTTGCGGTCGCTTGTTGTCTAGAGAGTCTAGAGGCTACTGAGGTTCTCAAGCGCCAAGGAAGTCCGATTCTCGGCCTGACAACCATACCTAGAATCTAAAACGTCTGTGTTGGTGAGGATCTGAATGGAGGGCCCTGAGGCTAAGGCATCGCAGAAGGTTGGAGAAAGGAGGCATAGAAGATTGATGCAGAAGCAGCTGCTTTGGCCGGAGACGTGCTCTGCCACGAAATCCGACACAATGCACCAGACTCTGCACGAGCGAGGGTTCATAGCCAATTGTGAAGTGCACAAGTCGTGGATTTGACCGTCGTACCCAGGTCGTGCTACGTTCGAACAGAAGTTTGAGTTTGCTGGCGACTTGCTGTAGATGTGGTTTTCTCGCTAAAAGTTATCTCATATGTTTCACCGTGCAGTTCGTTGCGACATGTGCATGGGGGCCCCGATCGACTGCTTGAAACGATGTGGATGCACCTGTATGTGGTGACAGAGTTGGGCAAAGTTTCACTGTGCAGGGCCTCGCAGGCGGGGCCAGACAAATTGGCCTCTGGACCGGCATTCGAAGTACGCACCCTGGCCAAGACTAGAGGGAATTCGATCATGCTTAATGTGCTACCATGGCTAGTGGTCTTCTCCTAAACGTGGTCCCAGACATTCTCGGACGGCCTCCGCTCCCTCCTTCCCGTTCTCCATGAATCTGCATCGTCTCTCTACTCTGCTCAGCTTGCGAAGCAAATGTTGAAACTTGCAGTTTCAGAGTGCTTGTTGAGCAACTCTCTATTTTTAGCGGCAGGATGCTTGTCATGTTGTCTGACGGGAGCCAAAGATTCGACCAACACGGCAGATGCTGGCATTTTGTTAATTGCGGCAGAGGCAGCACTGTAACAGGCAAACGAAACTACAGAGAGGACAAGAAGTCTTGCCACACACCCGGTTCGCCCCTAAGCCCTGCGAAAGAAACAACGTTTCGGGGCAGTCCGGTATTCCTCAGCATGGTTTGTGGCAAACTCGTGGACCGTATGGGTCCTTTTCCTGCACAGTTTCAGTTTATCCGCTTGCATGCCTGCCAAAGGGCCTAAATCGGGGGTTATTGCTTTTGCCGGAAAGCGCAGTAATCTTCCGTTGTTTGCAGTGCTACAGTTCAGTTTCATCTGCCAGCACCCTGTCGGACAAAGCAGAATCTCGACAAGACAGCGTGAGGCTTCCTGTGTACTCGTGGTATTGAGTTGCCTGTGCCCTGAGAACGCACCGTACTTGTGCCCGGAGCATTGCAAGAGGCTTGTGGCAGAGATGCTGTCCCACGTCTCTGGTATGGACCGAACGACCATGCTAGTAAGTAGCACCAGATTTACGGGGTAGAGTCTGCCATATGCCTGTTCAGGATTTGACCAAATCACGAGTTTTTGCCCAGAGACCTGAGAGGACTGGTTTGTCATCGACATGGAGCACTCTCCCAACGAATTGGGGGATGTGCTGCTTCAGCTCCAGGCCGTGTCACAGCACACTGTGTCACATTGTGTCCACATTGTGTTTCCTCACAGCGGCGAGCCGCGCACCCCCCCAAGTGAGGCCTCGCAGCGAGGTGAGGCCGAGCCTGTTGTACGTGTGCCCTGGGCGGAGCCTGTGGTCGTCAAGCGGGCCGCTACGGCCGCAGAAAAGGGGGCAACCGGTCCGCCCCTTGAAAGCCTGGAAGCTCCTGTGCGCAGTTTTCTGAGGTGCTGGACCTTGGAGCTCAGAGCACGCTGCCTGGAAGATCGTTTGCCGTCCTTCAAATGCCTGTAGGCTGAAATGCACTGACGTCCCAGGCCTAATTTTCCCTTGGATCAACACGGCAGAAGAGGCTAAATCAGCTGTCGAGGCTTTGGCCAAGTCCAGGTAGGTAGATGTTGCGGTTACAGCTGTGACTTACTTGGCCGGAGGCAACGCGCTATCCCAGTTTGGGCGGCATTCGCGGAGTGGCTCGGCCCACTGGGCCCTTCATCAAGCCCAGTCCTAGCCTAGAATCCTCGAAATATCGGTGGGCTGTGGCAGGTGATGAGCCTAGCGCGGATGAACAACTACGGAGCGCAGAATCCTCACTACTACAAGGAGCTCCGTCTCCCCGGTGGTATCTGATCTGTACGTGCGGCACGTACTAACGTGCTGCATAAGTCCACTCCGGACCTTCGTAATCAGAAACTTTCTCCGCCCCTAAGGAGGCCGGCCCACAGATCTGCATCACTTCCGCATTTGTCGAATTTGGGTTGATTCGGCCGTAGGCTTTTGCAAGCAATGTGGCACGTGCGGCATGCTGTTCGTTGCTGTTCTTGTCTTCAAAGGTAACATTATGCAGATTGAGACCATGGAGGCATCTAATCTAAACTGTGAGACCCGGCCAACCCCAGCTAGGCCTAGAGAAGCTTGTGGAACCAGGCTGTCGACAACATCGAGGACGGCGCCGCAAGAGAGAATACAAGCCTCGATTGCAGCCCAGCTGACTGAAGCGCTTCCGCATGCTTCCTCGCAGAGGCCATTGCAGCCGTGGACGGTGTAGATGCGCTGTTTGTCGGTCCCAGTGACCTCTCGGCTTCAATGGGTATCCAGACTCAGTGTGATTGCATTCTGGTCTTGCTTCTTGTGGTGCTCCAGTTGAGACATGGTTGGCTTGTGCTGCGGTGGCAAAGCAGACTCGTAATGTGAGGCTTTATTGGCCAGCCGCAGCATCCAGAGGTGCCTCGAGTAATAAGCCCACATGCTTCCTGCTGTCTGCCAGGGTGGCCCGGGTAATATACGATGAAACTATGAGAGCCATGGAAGTCTGGACAGCAGCTTGAGGTCCTTAACAGAAATCTGAACATGCTCAAAATCTGCATATGATGAGCAGTTCTACTAGGATTGCCGGATGGCTGCATGATCCGCACGTACAGCTCCGTCAAGCTTCGCCTTTGCAGGTGAAGCAGGTCATTCAGCAAGCTTTTTCGCGCATCGTGGCCAGCGGCAAGGCTTGGACTTTCATCGCCTGTCCATGCTCCAGACATGTCAATGTGACATGTTTAAACAGATTATGACATACTATGACATGCGAGGCAGCCGGCTTCCTGACTGCCAACAAGAGCGATGCAAAGTGGGCTTTGAAGCTCTCGCCTCGGTAACTTCAGTTGTCACGGTTTCTTTCGAGCTTCATAGGTGTGGCTGCCAGTTCGTCGCAGTCGGAAGCGACATGCAGATGCTGACGGCAGCTTCGAAGGCAAGGTTGAGACTGCAAGGAAGCCGGTTCTAGAGATGGCCATGGTATTCAATGAAGCACGCACGTCATTTTGGTAAACCAGGAAGCTGCTGCTGAGTTCCACGACTTTGCCAGCAAGCTCTGACTGGACCTGCTTTCAATCTTATGCCTTACGCCTTGTGCCTTCTCTCCGTAAGCAGAGAGACAAGACTCCAGAGACGCAATGCCTTCGAAAGTGACGGCATCGTGGTAGTGCGGTGCTATAAAATCTCTCGTGGCCAGCTCATGGCATGGGCTCGAGGCGTCCGAAAGTGTTAGGACGACTTCGAATTCGGGTTAGCCATAGAACCTTTGACAGGTCAATACCTGGTTATGGTGCTTTCATGGGCAAGATCGATGTCGATAAGATGGATTTGGTGAAGTGCGCACTCGAGGCAGGCGTCATTGACATGCGCCCGGTCGCTTGGTCTTGTGGCTAGGTATCCCGGCTGGGTGGATGTCCAATGGAGCTATGCCGACTTACATCCAGGAGACTGCACCTCGACCCACAAAGCATAATGCCTGCCACTGGAGAAACACGAAGTGGGAGACAGTAGCATGGATCCTGCGTAGAAGCATTCGCTGGTATCAAACCTCCAGTTAGGCATGTGCTTCGTAGCAATGAGTTTTGCTCATGTGTTGTGTTTGGCCCTGCGCCCCTGATGCACGTTGTAAACGACAGCGCATGCTTGGGGAGAGGGCTCGGTGCAACACCAGCTTTGCATCGGCCTTTCTTGGGATCCGCTCGGTCAACAGGGTTCGCCTCTGACATTGTTCCGCAGCTGCCATGTTCTCATGGCTGTCGGATGTGTGTGTTACTGCAGAGCTTCTGAAAGTGCCCAGAAGAAGACGAGCACAGGTTGAAGATGCGACGTGGCTGGGTGGATGCAGAAAACTATTAGCATTTGCGCAAACATCCCCAGGGAAGTTACAGTGGACTTAGTGCGACATCCGTTTGCACATGCCATTCGCTGTTACAAACGATTTGCCATGCAGGTCCACGTTCTGGGCTTGAACTGGGAAGTCGATTGGAATAATCTAGCTGGTTACGCGGAAGGCTGCTCCCGACAAGTGCTGCAAAGCATTTGCATCAGGTGCCCAGTGCAGCGATGTGTTGTGCAGAGGGCCAGGGTGTCCCATTTGTTGAGCACGTCAAGCAGTCGAGTAGTCATACATCGTCATGAGATGTCATACGAAATGCTCGTGTCAAGCAGTCAAGCAAGTGAAGTGACAAAAACAGCATTTCCAGTGTTTGCTGCTTGCACATGCCGGTTGCAACAACAAGATTGGTAAAGCTGTCTCTTCTGGCACTGGGTAGCTCCAAGACAGGCATGCAGGTTGAGTTTAGGTGATTGCTGCAGACGGTGCGAAACAACAAAAACCTCGTAGAGTCGAAAAGTGTGTTTGTTCCCTCGACATGTTTTTGGACAAGGCACTGTTGGGCCTGCTATTTTGTAGATCCGACGACTTTTTGTGATCTTGAGGAAGGTGCTGCCATCCGAGTCGTTCAATGCGATAATCAGCTTATCTAAGGCCTTTACATCCCGTTCCAGTGGCCGGCTCCTCGGCTGTGTGCAGAGAATCGTGTGCCACCGAATCTCGCGTGCAGACAGAAAGGTGCGCCCGTAAAGTGGAGCAGTGTAGGCACGCATGCAGCCAGGTATCATCAGGTTACTGCGCAGAAGGGGCGTTCAATCAATGTCCACGTGTGGCGACTTGCTGAGATTCGAACTGTCCTGCTTGTTCCGTTTCGGATCCGCACCGACCAGTAGGTATTGGCGGCCTGCAGCCTTCAACGCGACAAGCTGTGACAAGGAGCTTCACAAGCAAGGCATTGGCATCGGCCGGTCAGAGAGCGAGGAGCAGGCAGTGACCACCTTTGCAGACTGCAGCTGGGGCTACGAACCCAATGGAGCGACTCGGCATGGGATCATTTGGCAGCTTTTGGGCCGCATGACGCTGATGACTGCTATCACTGATCCATGCGACATCCTGCAACCTACCGGCTCAGGGGCATCTGGGCAAAGTGAAGAAAGGATGGAAGAAGCCGACGAAGTGCAAGAAGGCAGGCCCTGCTCTTGCAGGTTTATGCGTCATGCAGCCATCGCCTCCTTTATATTCGCGATTTTTTTGTGGAAGGTGAAGAAGTCTGACGAGTTGTAATTCCTTGTGCACAGCAAACAAGGCAATGTGGGCTGCAGTATACGCTTGGAAAATCGGAAACTCTGTAGCGAGCTCAACTGCTGTCGGCAGGGCCGGGACCGCGGTGTGCGACTGTGGTCCTGTGGCTGCGCCTCCACAGCGATGTGTGGACAAAATGCGATTGCACAAGAGCTTGCAAACCGCCGCGTTCCAGCATGTCAGCCTTCTCAATTCCAACCGAGGTTACATAGGGCACAGTTAGCAGCACAAGGGGCATGAAGCATGCTGATCTTTGTTTCGCAGCCAGTTGCCCCAGCGATTGAGTGCCCCCTGGCCGTAGAAGGGGCCGGTGGCAGCGATGCTCAGCGCCGCTCGCCGCGTGCTGAGTGGGGCGGCCAGGCTGACTCCGAAGCCGCAAAGTTGGCAGCCGGCAGTGCCTGCTACTGCAGGATGCCAGCTTGAAGCAAGACGTGGCTACCGCCATTGGTGGCGTGTGCTACCTGAGGATTTTGAGTTGAACTCAGAGTCAATGCCGAAGGATGTGAAGTCTCTTATGGCCAGCAACCCCTACAACCTGGGCTTCATCGATGCGTACTGGTACTGGAGGATCCGCGCTGAAAGCACAATGATGGATCCTGAGAACTTGCCGAAGAAGTCCTACAAGCAACTCTGCCGAGACATGGGCCTCAGCATCGTGAATGAGCAGGCGGAGAATCTCCTCGGCATCGTTGAGTTGTACGAGTACCTCAAGTCGTCCCCGTTCATCGGACCCTTTGGCACCATCGAAAACCCAGTGCTAGTTCCCGCCATCCACACTGAGAGAATTGTCGGCTGCACAGGTGGCACTGGGGACAATGAGCATGTCCCTTTGTGGTTCCGCTGTCGTGAAGGCTTCCTTTACCGATGCGGCGAATGCGACCAAATCTTTATGTTGGTCAGAGTGCTGTACGAGCTGCCAGAAGAGGGCGTGGAGATCAATCCCATTGATCCTGATGTGAAGGATGTCTTCGATTTTGCTCTCTTGGAGAAGGGCAACGAGGTGTGGAACACCGGCGGCATGATCAACTGGCCTACCGGCTACGATGCCCTGCACGGCACTGTGTATGGTGGAGGGGCCCGGGATGAAGACCAGCGCGCCATCGGAGAGTGAAGAATAGCATGAGCCGGTTTCAACGTAAATCTTATCCCGTCAGCGACGTTAAGTCATCGACCACGACATGACATTATAGACACGGTGGCACAATGACATGTAACCCTAAGCAGCCATAAAGTGTCAAAGGCGACTGCTTCGAGCTGAGCAACACCGTCTGTGAGTCGGAAAAGTGAGGTCCATCGTGATGGCTAGAAGTGGGTCGGAGCGTGAATGTGCACCGCATCTTTCACGGCAGTTGTTGTTCCGTCAAGATGGACCGCCGGTCTGTTGCTGCTCTGGCTCTCCAGGCTTCGTCTTTTTCTGGTCAGGTCTTTGGGTGAAGTGCCTGCAAGCGCTCACTCTTTCACTTCAAGTTAAGGCCTCAGGATCCATTGTCCATGCAAAGGATCGCATTCGGATGCATGCGTTTCCGTTGCCGATCTGCCTCAGGTCGGCTCATTATGGCATTGTGGAGGCTCGGTATTCTAAACTTATTAGCAAGCCAGTCGGGGCATTGTGCTTGGGCGCAAGCAGGTGGACATTGGCCATTGCAGCCATGGTCTCGATGGCCTCGGCGCAGCTGATGCGCAGGGACAAGCCAAAAAGAGAAGGGACTGTTCATCATATGCTGCAAGCAGCATTGCGGCAGGGGCTGGTGAAAGTTTCTGCAGATCGCTTGCTCCATGTGGAGGAAAGCTTGCGCGCAAGCTACGAGGCCTTCCCCAAGGATGCACGGGGAAACGTGCCACCGCATCAGGTCTTACCGGCCCTCGCGAGAGCCTATTTTTCCAAGGAGCACGGTTGGCTAGTTCGTGGCTTGGAATCTCCTGGAGCACCTGTCATCGCTCCTGGAGAGTCGCATCAAGATGCACGCCCGTCAGTCACCGCGAGTGGCTTGTACGAGGTTCAGATTCTGAAAGACAAAGCACCGGAGCTTGCAACAGCGTTGAAAGACGCAGCTCTCAGTCCAGTTGCGGTCTCGGCCGGGCTTTCCTTGGGAGACATCTCTCGCACTGTTGCTGCATTGGAGCAGCTGCTCCTGGAAGAATCACTGCCCCTGCTGCGTTCATCATACTTCCTCAATGGTCTGGACCATCTGGACCCTGCCACTGAACACCTGCCGCCACCTGTGGCAGAGTCACAGGTTCATGAGGTTCTTTTGTCCTACCTTCTTCTGTTCCGGCACGGGTTGCCAAGGAATCTGACAGACTCCGAGTCCCACCAGCGCTTGAAGCAGCGTGCGAAGAAGACTGCAGATTGGCCTTTGCTGTCACAGTTTGAGGTCCAGGCTCTAAATGAAGTTATCCACGAAACTGGGAAGATCTCGTGGGCGCAGGCTCGCGAAGCTGTTGAAATCATTGCTACGCGATACGGGCACTGGCAGCAGTCAGAATGCGAAGACATGAAGTCGACATTGATGAAGATGGACACAGGTGGAGGGCGCGTGAAGCTGCAGGACTTCCATGGATCGCCCAAACATCCGCATTACCAGTTCACGGAAAAGGAAGACTACTTGACAAAGGCAGGCATGTTAGTGGAAGAGGATGGTGAGAAGTATGTGCTCATTGCAAACTACTTACTGGGACCCTCCAACTGCATCGCATCATCTGAGTACTTTGCGGTCTGCTGCCTCAACCAGTGCGAGACATTGGTCAGCCAATTCGAGATGATTTTGCAAGCTCCTGCAGCCCCTGTTGCGCAAATAATGGATGCGGTCGCCCGTCTCCGTGACAACTCGACCACTTCATCCACGTCGGAGCTCCAGGAGAACCTGCAAATGCTCGTGGACGACACGGGTGCAGTCGTTCTCCATTCACCGGGCTTCCACAAATGGCTGCATAAGGCCCTAATCTAGTCACTAATCGGTTTCTGCAAGCTCTCCACGTGTTCCGCAGTAGATGTCCCGTAGTGTTCATTCCCAGGGTGTTAACTTCGCTACCTGGAAAGGCCTTTCCGCTGGAGTGCCCGCGCCCGACGGCGCAAGAGGATGCAGCGGAGGAAGCAGAGCTGGCGGAGGCGAGGGAGTGGCTTGAGATGGACGAGGCTGCACGAAGGAAGTGGCAACCTCTGGTGGTCCACCCGTCGGAGTGCACACGCATTCCCGAGTGGCATGCGGAGAAGGCCGAGCAAGGCTTTCATGAGGAGCCAGAAGGGATGCTGACGGAGGTTTGATGGAGGGATCTCGCATGGCGTGTCGGAGCCACTGTGCTTGAAGCTGAGCACGAGAGAAAGAAGGAGGATAGCTCATGTTGTTGAGATGAGATGCTCTTGCTTCTTGCACGCCGTCCGGCAGGGACAAGCTCAATTCTGTGTGGCTCCGAGGCTCAGATTTGCAGCATGCAGGTAGCACAACACCATACAACACCTGACGGCACATCCTGAAACTCGTTGGCCTGACTTCCCGGCTGCATGTTTGCAGGTAGTGCGTCATTGCTGGGTAGCGCGTTTTTCTGTATCCTCTCCTCTTAGCTCTTTTCTGCGCTACCTGGATGTGGGAGAAGGCCCTCGTAGCATTAGCCGTCCTGCTGACTCGTAGCCTTGAGAAATCCCGTCAGCCCTGGCAATTGTATACGTGTCCGCCTTGCGAGTGTGAGTGCGTGCTCAAAGTGGCGGGCGCAAACGAGAAGGAGGTGCCTCCAGCAGCAGTGCTTTCGCCTCATCAGTGGGGTCTGGCAACTGTGTTGCTGCTATTGAGCCACGTAGGCACTGGGATACTGGTGAGAGTTTGCATAAGACGGGGCAGTGCTAGTCCTAGTCGTGGCTCGTCGAGGCGCCGTGGACTAGGAGTGCTGGAGTATGAATCTGGGGAGTCTGGTACTCCGATGACAGCGTGTGGCATGAGCGAATAGTGTTGCTTCCCGGGAAGACCGAAGACTGCTATTGGATAGCACTCCAGACCTGGGTCTGTATGAGGAGGATTTTCATGGCACCCGCACCCGTTATACAAGGCCCGTCTACAAGTTCAAGCAGGAGGTCTCGAACGAGTTTGTCGAGGAAGAGATCCTTGAGGCGCTGGCGGCAGCACCAAGCCAGTTATGGAGAGATTCCGGATGTGGAGGTGAGATGGTTGTTTTGCCCGACGGCGGCCTCTCTGTGGTTTGGTGCCCTGCAGGCGGCTCGGGAGAAAGAGTGGGGCAGAGAAGCTTCATGTTGGGGCTCCGCCGCAGCCTGCAGGCCTTGGTCTTGTGGACAACAGCGCGATCAAGGAGGAATTTGAAACCTGCGTTGTGGTGTATCAGTCGCACGGAGAGGGGCTTGGGGAGCAGAATAGGCCGCCTCTGGACACCCAGTTGGTCGGGGAGAGGGGGGGGGGGCAAGCCTTCAAGCTATTCTCGCGAGAGGCGACGAGGACGAGAGATGCTGGAAGGGGGGCTGCAATAACAAGGACAAGAAGCAGGGCAGGAAACCCCTGAGCAGGGGGCCGGCTTCACCGTCCACTGTGCGGGCGAGGAGGCCGGAATCACATTTAGCACTGGCAAGGTTTTCCGTGAACCCATGGCCAGGCATGGAGATGCTTTTCCTTTACCACTCCCTGGGCACGGTCTTGGCCCTTAATCACCTGGCTGGTTTTGATGATGATTCGCGCTGGTCGGTGGTCGCAGTGAATGCGGCCCAGAAGGCGGTGCACGAGAGGATAGTCCTGCCGGGGCAAATAGCAAGTTGCGAGAGAGAGGTTGTCCTTGCCACGAGACCAAGCAGAAGCTGTGGGCGCCCGGCACCGGGATGGGTCTTCGGGAGGGCTCCAGTCGGCAAGCGCTGTTCGTCTACGCGGACAATGCAAATGACCTAGGTGTGGATCGAGACGAGGTCGCGGAGGCGCAGAAGGCCATGCTCCGGGATGTTCCGGGAATTGCACCTAGTGGGGCTTGCCACACATGACTGGGAGTGAGAATCGATCGCATGACAGGGCTAGTTCAGAGCACGCCTGCGCAGGATCACCGGCTTGATCAGGCTTTGCTGGCTTGCAGCTCGCGGTGACCATGTCGGGTGAAGAGCTGCAGGTGCTCGTGGGACATGCAACCATGCGGGCAATGTTGAATCGTGGTCTTCTGAGGATACTGCAACATGTGTATACACCTATCCAAGAGTGCTATGACCAGCGAGTGAAGTTGTGGCCGTCCGTGGTTCGGGAACTTGAGTTGTTCAGGTGCTTTGTGGTCCTGGGCCACGGGGACATGCAGACAGGCTGGAACTGGAGCCCACGTGCTTATTGCACAGATGCCTGTCTCAGCGGATATGCCGATATGCCATCATGACCCGTGAGCTCCCGGTGGACATTGTCAGGACCATTGGGGGTGAGGATGAGCGGTGGCGATTTTACCGTGGATCAGGAGCACGTGTTGCACCAAGAGAGGCTGCCCTGGCCCACGCCCATGTGTTTGCCGATGTTCGTACGGTGAAGCCTGATATAGAAGGAGAAGTGTTAGGAGAGATTGTTGAGGATGAGGCGTTTCCGGAAGTTTCGCGTGAGGGTTTTATGCCCAGAAGACTGGCGGCTGCTTTGGAGTCGCCCTTCACGCACAAGGAGCCGGTGCGTTTGCTGGAGTGCAGATCTATCTTGTCCACGATGGAAACACCTTTCGAGAGATGCTAGATTCTGCTAGACAGCACGGGCAAAGAACATTGGTGCTGAATGATAACATGGGGGTTGTGTTGGCAGTCATGAGGCGGAGATTTTCAAGCTACGGCTTGTTACGATTGTTACGCATACCGTGGGCCCACAGCCTAGCCTGCAACATCAGGTTGTGCCGGAGATGGGTTGTCTCGGAGCACAATGTCGCCCACCATGACAGCCGAACCTGGGAGGCAAAGGGCGGGGATTGGAAATCGGGGGCAGAAGCGCAAAGTCGAGATCTTCACGAATCTGGAGGCAGAGGCAGCGAACAAGAGATGCCGAAACCCCTTGGCGCACGACGTGGAGGAGAGGATTTTGCCGAGACGCAGCAGGTCCAGGAAGCAGAGCCAGAGAGAAAGCGACGAAGAGCCTGTGAAAGAGAGCGACAGTACGGCAAGAAGCTGAGAGCCACGCAAGGTTGCAGAACCATCCCGGAAATGGGGAGTGTGAAGGACCCAACACAGAAGGATTACGAAAAGAAGCTGAGCCTGTTCTACGACTTCATAGCTTTTCACGGTCTAGGTGGACACAAAGGCGGCACTCGACGTGGCGCTCTCGGACTACGCAGGCTTCCTGTTCCTGAGTGGAGAGGAGTGCAGCTATGGCCAAAAAGCCTGAGGCAGCGCTCGAGTTTTGGAGGCCGGAGGCCGCAAGGGAGGGATCCTGGCGCTCCCCCGGTTCAAGCGAGCTCTGAGGGTTGGCGACGATTGGCGCCGACCCAAAGATAAGGCTCCGGAGCCATCTCGGGCTTGTTCATCTGGGCCCGCCGCAAGGACATGGCCCTGTACAACGAGCTGACGTTCTCGACGCATTTCCGACCGAGCGAGGCGCTGCATTTGAAGGCGGTGGACTGTGTGGCCAAAACGCCGGGGGGAAGCCAGCACAAGTTGTTGGACGACGTCCGGGCGCCCTTCCTGGATCGGGTGCTGGCGAAACATGTGCCTGCCAGGCTGTCCAAGGACGGGGAGGACGCCAACTTGTACACGTTCAATGCGATGGAGTACTTGGCTCTGTGGAGACAGGCTGTGGAGACGCTGCAGGTTCCGTATCCGAATCGGCGCGGCGGTGCCGGTCGGGATCACTTGCTAAAGCTTCGCAGCGTCGGATCCATACAGAGGTGGGGCCGGTGGGCGGTGGACGCCCCAGCCTGCATACACGACAAGCCGAGCAGGCTGCAAAAGATGGTCAGCAAGCACGGCAAGTGGTCAGAGTTCGGGGAGATGGTCTGTGGGAACTTCGAGCCTTGTACAGGTGAGAGCAAAACTAATTTTTGCGGAAAACAATTCCTGAGCCTCTTCGGCAGAGCCTCGGAGTTGGCTAAAGCTATTGCGGAAGCAAGTGGGCGATCGGCGGTTATAGATATACTGCGAAGGATGCCAGGAATGATCTTGGACGTCTTTCACCGTGGAATCATCTTTGCTCTGCTTTGCCGTTTTTCCAGTTCGTTGGCATAGGCATTCCATGTAATGCCTGGAGTAATGCACGAAGAGGTCCGCCTGTCCGCCTGACTCCAAGATGCCTCATCAACCCCTTCGAGGAAAGGGTGAAGGCCCAATCATGGGACTCCCTCATGAAAAAGTTGCCAAAGCAAACAACGTGTTGATCGGTGCGAGCAAACTTATTCGCAAATGTCTTTTTCTGAGTATTCCTGGCTGCCTAGAGACTCCTCTGACATCAAAGTTATGGAAATTCCCTAGCATGTCACACCTGCTGCCGGACAAGCGATTGAACTGCGTGAAGGTCCACACGTGCATGTACGGCGTGTAATGGAAGAAGGCCACCGGGCTGTAGATTTGGAACTGTCATCCCTTTCCGCTAGAATCACCCTGCACAAGCAAAGGTGTGTGTGCACGCACTGGCTGGCAGCGTTTGCAGCTTGCAGGAATTGCGGGAGCCAAATTTGTTACCCAGCGAGCACAAGTATATGCAGAACAGTTCGCGAAGAGCCATTCCAATATGAGGGTGGGGATAAACATGTTCGGCCAAAGGCCATGTGAAAGCATGTTCATTGGGCCGCACAGGATGCACGCTTGCTTATCTATGCTTGGGAGCTCCGAGATACAGACGTACACTCAAGTGAGTGCACGAAAAGGAGTGTCCATCAACGCGTCTAGCCAGGAAGCTTAAGCCTTTTTGCACGTAGTGCGTCGTTGCTAGGCTTGCGATTTTCTGTATCGTCTCCTCTGAGCTCTTGTCTGCTCTCCCTCCCGCTACCGCCCGGGGATATGTTCGGCCAAAGGCCACATGAAAGCATGTTCACTGGGCAGCACAGGATGCGCGCTTGTTTGTCTTACACGTGGGAGATCCAAGACACAGACAGACATTCAAGTGGGTGCACGAAAAGGAGTGTCCATCGATGCGTCTAGCCAGCAAGCTTAAGCAGCTTTATAATGCTCTATACCAGGATGTCATTGTCTGCAACAGAGCCCCCGTAGAAAAATGGAACCAGGACAGAGCGACTGTAGCTATGGCTTCTGAGGGCCGGCTCCAAGAGGGCCGGCTCCAAGACTCGCATGTACCGTGTCAAGCCGCTTAACAATGAGAACAACACTTCATGACGGAGCGCATGGCGAGGTGCACCTGTCACAGTCGTGGTTGAAGCGCAACAGGGCAGAGGTTTTGAAAGTTATGGGACATTCAAGCGAGTATCAGAGCAAAGTGATGTGATTGCAAATTACATATACTCATGGGCTCATTACTGTCATCAGTGACTCTGAATACTTATGGTGTCAACCCTCGTTTTGTTGCCAGGGCATGATGGCCTGGGCACGTCAGCACGGTTTGAAGGCCTCGCCGAAGGCTGTGTGCATCTGCGGGGCCTTGCTTATGTAACGCTTGACACAGCTCGCGGCAACTGCAGACCAGGTTGATTTTTTCTCGCCCTCCACTCCGCCAAGCCAGGCCTGTGGCTCGGCTTCCTGTGCTCGAGAAGTCAGAGACGATCTTTTCTTCACTGTTGTGCAAGCTTTGTTTGGGCCCTGTGTTGCACCAAGTCGGACGATTAGTAAGTAATCGGCCATCGCTTCATGTTCGAGTTTCTTCCATGACCCTGCAGGCTATCTACAGGTTAGCAAAAGCACGCTTCGCTGGACTGTTTCCTTATGCTATGCAAGTCTGCAGCCACGACCAAAATGTGGGTTGGACGCTGTGCAAAAAGCTTCGAGCTTCATGTCCGGCGTTTGCGGTCACATGCGATAATCGCTTCGACGTGGTCAGGGCTGCTGTGCCAGAGCGCTCGAACCCATTGCTTCCGGTGAACTGCTGTCAGACTCTCAGTCCCTTTCGGTTGCTGCCAGAATGCATGACTTCCGCCATTGAACGTGTCGACTGTCGTCATGGCAAGCTTGGTCTTGAGCACTCGTGTTGGTAAACTAGGTCATTGAGTGCCACAATCAGGGCTGCTACGTCCCTGTCACATAAAACAGATCTCCTGTCTGAATGTGGTCCCACACGAAAGAGCCATGCAAGATTACGTATGCTGTTCAGGCCAATCTAGTCCCCCTGGTTTGCCCTCGTCAGTGGCTTTCGACCCGATGCAATGGAAGCACAAGGGGCTACTGCAGAATTGGTGGAATATTTGCAGGTGCCTCGCCTACCATATGCGGGTGTGTAGGTGCTGAAGGGAATTCGGATAGATCATGATAGATCGTTTCGTGTTGGTCCAGCTCGGGAGGTGCAGGGACGGGTCCAGGGACCTCTCCGCTGGCAGGCAGCATACATTCAGGATAGCCCGCTGGAGCCGGAAACTATCAACAAATGGCTCTTGCAGATTCCGCAGCTTGGTTACCACCAGTCTTGCTCATGTACAAGTGACGGCAGCATGACTCGATTCTTCACCCATCGCCACGGAATTATATACCTTGCAAGCAAGGGTTCAGCGCATCCGCAGGCCGCAGGCCTTACAGTGGACATCCACGGCAGAAGACTACATGCCGCCGCTACATTATGCCTGCATGAACGAGGCCACTGATCCCGGGCAGCCGCTTTGTCCGCATCAGCCTGGATGCTTTCTTTGCTTCTGATCTTCTTTGAGAGCAGCGTATGTTTCACATCTTTGGAGACAGGTTGGTTTCGGGGGAATCAGGGAAGGCATCGCCCGAGGACCATTCGAATTGGACTGTCTTAGTACTCATGAGGCCATATTGTCCTTACACTAGTACTAGGACGCGGCATGCCTTGTGTACCTTCAGTTCGGACAAGTGGTGTTTAGACTTGTTCAGCAAGACGGCATGACTTGCAAGACCTGGTCCGGCCCTGGCAAGATGCTTCTGACGCGTCGTGCATGCTGTGCGACATGCTAGTGAGAGTGCAAGAGGCTGCCACGGAGTGGAGTTTTGAGGCATCTGAATTTCTAGAAGTATCTGGAGTCGAGGCTCTATGCAGCAGTGTCGCAGCTACTTGCGCATGGTGCCGATCCGCAGGCATGCTCGCATCAACCACAAGCGACAGGGCATGGATGTGCGATTCTCACTGCAGGCGAAGGATTCTGACGGGGACACGGCATTGCAGGCTGTTCTCAGTCTTGCGACACAAGATGAAGAGCCTCCCGATCAAGAGGCTGCCCAGGCAAGGCCAGGGCGTTATGCCAGACTGGCTTCTTCGATCGGTGAATTGCATCCAGCCCGAGGCGCACTATGCAGTCGTGCGGGCGCTGATCCACTGTCCGAAGCAGGACGCGGCTGTTGCTGTTTGCTCTGTGTCCTTCCCGAGCTTGCCGGGCTGACTGGGGGCATTCACTTAACTTTTCGGACTCACGAGCCCCAGACTTAGACTGAAGAAGATTGGTTCATCGCCTTTTTGGGTACAGGGCGAGCCCGCCACGTGTGTCATTTCGGGACGTTGTAAGGGGGGGGGGGTGCCCTGTTGCCAGGCAAGGTTTTTTGTTCAGCTGTCCGGTCAAGCACGCCCCTCCACCCCACCAGTAGGTCGCCCAAGAAACGCGGGGGCTGCGCACGTCGCAGTGACAGCAAACATCCGGACACAATACAGTATCTATCATGTCAGCAGGTGAGGTGGGATGGGGCTGGCGGGGGAAAACTTTCTGAGTCACGTCTCACAGGTCGGCCAGCTAATGTCCGAAATTTGTCGTAAGACTGCTTGTTGGTGTTTGGGGCACAGGTGCTGGCCCGTAATTGGTTCACAAAGCGACGACCCGGCAGTTTTCTGGTGTTCTTACACTCAATTCCTCAAGACAGGAATTCCGTGCCAACAGCTTGTCACTATGAGGAGCTCGGAGAACCTGAGCTACGGAGCCTCTGCAGTTGGCTGCGCAGCCGTGTTCCAGACAACGGGCAGAAGCAGGCTAGACCCGCAAGCAACACGACGGGTCACAGTTTGGGACTGCAATCTTGCTGTAGGAGCACTGTAGCATCATACTGGGTTTCTCAGGCACGATGTGCCATTGTGAAAATGCTTCTGCACGAACACGAATCGGTTGCCTGAAGCAAAGCCATCCGTCATCCTGCTCTGTAGAACTGAGTATGTTGGTATATAGCGTGAATGATGACGTGATGACTGCCGCTGCTGCTGCTTCTTCTTCTTCTGCTGCGGCTACTTCTGCTGCTACTGCCAGTCCCACTGGATTCGATGCGCTGTCTTCTCGTGTTACTACCATTAGCAGCGCTACTAGTTCTGCTACGGTGAGAATTTTAAAATATGTGGGGGGTGGCCAACCCAAGATCCAAACAGAGGTAGTATGAGACACCTGTTTAAATCCGTATGTTTTAGCTCCGGATATTTACTTCCAGCCTTCCGGCCCTCCGGCCCTCCAGCCTTCCAGCCCTCCAGCCTTCCAGCCCTCCAGCCTTCCAGCCTTCCAATCTTCCAGCCAGCCCTCCAGCCTTCCAGCCCTCCAGCCCTGCAAGCCTTCCAGCCCTCCAGCCCTCCAGCCTTCCAGCCTTGCAACCCTCAGCCTTCCAGCCTTCCAGCCTTGCTTTCCAGACTTCCAGCCCTAGCCTTCCAGCCCTCCAACCTTCCAGCCTTCCAACCCTGCCCTTACCTCTTTCATTTTCAGGCAACCTGTTTAAAGTTTAAAGTATTGGCTAGTACAAGTACAAGTACTAGTAGTAGTAGTAGTAGTAGTAGTAGTAGTGGTAGTCGTGGTAGTAGCAGTAGTAGTAGTAGTAGTATAGTAGTAGTAGTAGTAGTAGTAGTAGTAGGAGGAGTAGTAGTAGGAGGAGTAGTACTAGTAGTAGTAGTAGTAGTAGTAGTAGTAGAAGTAGAAGTAGAAGTAGAAGTAGAAGTAGAAGTAGAAGTAGAAGTGAAGTAGAAGTAGAGGTAGAAGTAGAAGTAGAAGTTGAAGTAGATGTAGAAGAAGTAGTAGTAGTAGTAGTAGTAGCAGCAGCAGTAGTAGTAGCAGGAGTAGGAGTAGGAGTAGGAGTAGCAGTAGGAGTAGGAGTAGGAGTGAGAGTAGGAGTAGGAGTAGGAGTAGGAGTAGGAGTGGGAGTGGGAGTGGGAGTGGGAGGAGTAGGAGTAAAAGAAGTAGTAGTAGTAGTAGTCGTCGTCGTCGTCGTAGTAGTAGTAGGTAGTGGTAGTAGTAGTAGTAGTAGTAGTAGTAGCAGCAACAGGAGTAGTAGTAGTAGTAGTAGTGGTGGTGGTGGTGGTGGTGGTGGTGGTAGTGGTGGTATTAGTAGCAGCACCTCTAACGCAACAACATGCTCCTGGAAATGTACTGTAAAC